TTAAATAAATATTAGTGGGAGAACAAGTAACAGGCTCACATATAAAGTAGGTCAAGTATGGAAAGAGCGTAGAACATCAGGCCCATCATAGCTGCATAGACGACAAAAGTGAGCATAGAGATGTATTCGCGATCAGTTTGATGCCAACTGAGCGTCTCTAAGGAGAACCGTCGGGTACTGAATCAGATCACGTCTTACACAAAGCACATTTGAATTAGGTCGCAAAGAAAGTTCCTGTGGTTTTTGGTTCAAGTTTCAAATCCTGCTCTCTGCATTACCTTTTGCGAGATCGCCGTCACGTTCACCAGTTTCAAAAGCACTTTTATCGTTCTATCCAACCGCTCACCCCCACAAATCTGACATGAAATGGTCAAGCTACGCAAGGATAATTTATGTCCCTAAAAGAGCAAAAGCTGAGCCTCATTCCTTTGTACCTGAGGAAACCATCAACAGGGCGGCGTTGGTTGGGACCGCTCGGACGAGGCTGCAAAAATCACAGGGCCAACGGAGGAGTAAGTCGCCCAGGACTAGGATGACGGTCTGTATTTTTAACGGACGGACGCTTGCAAAGCTCACGCTCACGGTGTTGATCTGCTGATGAAAGTCAGAAAGACCAAGTACGACGTCATCGGACTGACTGACACGAAAGGACATCGCCTGCTACGCGCTGCCTTGGGAAGTGGAGAAGGACTGTTCCTAGAAACATGCGACAGTAAAGGCGTTGGCGGTGTGGGTGTCCTCGTCAACATTCACCTAGGATGTTAAACGAACGCCTTGACAACCGCCTACGCGATGGTCAGACTTCTTCGCGAAAGCTGTGAACGTCATGACCCTTATGCGCAGAATACCCTTTGGCAACTCTATCATGAGAGTTGCCAAAGGGTTTCTCTCATGCGAGGATAAATGGATACGTACTGGCGCCCGCTTGGGTAACTCGATCATCAACGGGAGCACAAGTGATAAATGTAATCAGCAGCTTGAACTCATTTTTCTGGTCTCCCAGGTGATCGAAACTAATTGACAGAAGCGCACAATTTCTCTCTTGCGATTCAAGTTTTGCAAGAAAGCTGTAGAAATGCGTGTTGCAGTGATGATCGAAAGTTTTTGTGGTCCGCGTAGATAAGTGCCCCTGAAGATGTGATAGTCGTGTGTGGAATGGCCGTCGGATGATTGACAGGCGGGACAATTGAGAGCAGGAGTTTGAAAGAATCGGTACAAGTTGGAGAGCGGAGCGGTTTGTGTTCACATGCAGAAGATCGGAAAGTCGAAGAAGCTAGATAAGTGGGTGCCGCACAAACTTGGTACAGAAGATTGCCGCTCGTGAGAATCGCTTACGTCTTTAGCAAAGGAACGATCTATTTCCAACTAGTAGTTGAGTATGATGAAAAGTTATTATGAGTAATAACCGTCGAGTTACAGTGGACCAGGATGAAGCTCATTAGGTCAGGAGCCGAGGCCAGGCGATTATAACGGTCCACTGACGGTCTGACTCCACCTTGCTTTCTGAGAGGCGAGAAGCAGGCATTACCGCTGCAAACTACTTCAAAACATTGACGAAGTGTCCTCAGAGCTTCAGCTTCATGAACGCTAACACTGATCAACAATGGGGAGCTTTCTTTAATACATTGACAGTGCTCACCTCAGCCATCACGTCCGCACAACTTCCTCCCCCTCGAAGCTGAAGACGGCACGCGTTGCAGAACTCTCTCCGCACCACCAAATTCAACACGACTCAACTATCTCGGCAAGTTTCACGAGTAAAGAATGCCCCAATGAGCGTTAGCTGCTGCTTTCAGCGGCATCTTACCGATGCCGCTCCCGCTAAGATATCCGGGCTTCTATGCAATCGGAATGGGCAATCTTGTTTCTCTCCTTGGCAGAAGCTTGCAGATAATAGCGGCGAGGACAAAAGTGATGCTTTTGGGCCGGGATATGCGCATTCAAGATTAGAGGTTAGAGGCCGGCAGGAACATTTTTCACGACATAATACAACGAATCCAATACTTTCCATGAATTCTTGAGTCTCACGAAAAGATCCTGCACTCACTCCGTGTCTCGCGTGATCACACCAGAGACTCTAACGGCCAAAACAAATGCTATACAAATAAGAATCTGCACCACAATATCAGGAAATAATTTTGCTCTGAAAAACTTGTGATTTCACAGAATCTTTTAAAATACTCACAGTGCCTTAAAGGAGGTCATGGTAGTATACGTACGAGAACACGTCCATATGTCCCACTTGCAAACGTGGTGTCTTGGCGATAGCGTTATCACTGTACCTTCCTCAGTAAGGCGCCCTTCTTGTAAATCTCATCGTTTTGGAAAGGAGGGGCAGGGGCTAATAATCAGGGCGAGCGGTAAGCACGGTCCCGCCTACCTGACCTATGTGGGAAGCGCTTTCGATTTGATCTCCCACACAAGAAAAAACATTCCCTATTCCCATTTATCCCGAACTACCATTCATTTCGTCCAGGGGTCGCTACCCAGTTTCACCAACTTCATGAAGCTACTGAGCTGAGGGGTTACACTCTCTGTCCACCACAGCAGCTGCTACAGAGGAACTTCTTTACCTTTCAAGCAGTAATAGCGGGAAACTACAAACATCCGTGGATTGCCCTACCTATCATATACGGCACTGGTATAGCAACTGCAAACAGCATTCCTATGCCAGTAAACAGCTGAATGGAGAAGAAAATAAGTAGAGGTCGACTGAGTGACTTTTCACATTCAGGCAGAACACTGAGCGTTGACAGATTCAGGCACGTGCCTAGTAAACCTGAAAATAGGGAATCTTCTTCGCACCCCAATATGATCGCTAAATTCAACAAAATTAGTTTATTTCAACATCCCATTTTGCTTTGCTTCCGTGGCTTTGGTCTACGGTAGGGGTGATTTCAAAGCCACAGTCAAGATTATAAGAAAAATTCATCAAAGGTACATTCCGTGATAAGAAGGGGGCTGGAGAAGAGGGCGGAGAAGAACGGTTATTGTGTCTCCTTCACTGCTGCATATGTACTTATGAAATGACAGAAAGAGAAACTTGATATAGCCCATTTGTTCGCCCACTCGATTATCATGCGAAGGGCGCTTTGAAGCTTCGAAATGCGTAATCTTTTGCCTCGTGTCAGACCTGGAAGCTAAGATATGTTAGGGCCATGGTTCACACTTCGCTACAGTACGCGGCCGACTCGTGGCCGACTGCCGTTTGATCGCCTTGGTACAGGTCAGGAGCGGCCCCCAATGCTACTTACATGGACCGCATCGGTGCTATGAGGAAAAAATCGGCATAATTTTCGTGCTTTTTCTCCTTTGATTGGCCTACTAATGCTGTTTGACTCAAAGAAAGGTGGAGAGACTTAATGGCTTTTGTTTTCTATTTTCTTTCTTGATTCAGGATAGAAATGAGCAAAAAGCGTGAGAGCTTCATTTAGGGTAGGTTTTCATTGTTTCTTTTTTCATTCGTCGAGCTTATACATGAAGTTATAAAGCTATAATTCTTGATCATGCATAGAAGAATTAGTGTTTCGATTCCTTTAGGTGCGGTTTCATCCTTGTTTTTCGCTGTTTGAACTTGACCGTAAGACTAATGTATAAATATTCAAAATTTGGGATTATGTTAGTAAAGGAAACTGGTTAAAATATTCATATGAATTGAGCACGGAAAACAAAGAAACACAAAAGACTTTAGGCTACGGTAATGGAGTTGCATTATCCGACCTAAAAAAGGTGAACCTCTCATATTCCAATTCCTCGCAAGTAGAAAAGTGTAAGTGTTACTTAGTACCTTATCAAGCGAAAAGTAGTTCTTCAAACGCTGCTGTCGAGTTATGAACGCTACCTAACCGCTACTTTGTACGCCCGCCCTAGGTGTCAAGAAAGTTATAGGTTTAGGAGGCGCGCTTTCAGCGATCGGCCCACAGCATCTATTCAAAGCAAGGAGACTGCAGTCTCACAAATCACTTCGGCCGGGTCTCTTATGTGTTGGCCAGGTGTCTTATGTGACCACTCAGCGAATCTCCTCGTACTGCTAGCCTTATCAGGGCCGCGGGTTGCTGTTTTTTTCAAAAAGAGCGCGGCAACACGAAACATTGAGTTGGTCGCTTCAGTATGAGCCTGTGATTCCGTCACCGCTACAAGTAAGGGCCCCTCTCGACGAACAGGCAGGTATTCAGCAGATTCACCTCATCCTCTATCCCTCAATTATTCACCAATACTTGCATGAACAGGAGACAAGGCTTGGAAAACATTCGGTAAACATGTGAGGGAGAGAGCCGCTGGCAAAACTTATACCATGTTGCGAACGAGAAAAAAAAGCTATATAACCCGGCACTTTCCCAGTATTCCCCACATCATTTTCAGTCACTTCTCTAAGAGCCCGATGAGAATCCTTCCATTCGTCGTAGTAAAGATACAGTACCTGTACCGACGAACCCCTTTGCTCTATGTTTAGATTTATCGTATTTCCACTTCCTCCTATCGCTATCGAAATTTTAAAATACCTTCAACGATAGTGCAAACTCACTTAAGACCAGATATCCGGAACCAATAACAACCTTCTTCATCTGAGCCGTGGAAGAATATTGAAGGTTACAAGCATTCTATCATCGTATGATACTCTGGAAAACGCGCAAGCAGTTAGAGGACTGTGTCGAGAGAGCAGGACAATGAAAGCACTTGAACCTGAATCTTGACGAAAATTTTCGACAATGGGGTTCCACGGTTACTAGAGTGACGAGTAAATCAACAATAAAATAGCAAGGGACCTTCGGGCACGAAGGGAGACCCTGGCCAATTCCCATTTCTTTTGTAAGAAGAGGGAGTGAGTTGGGCCTGTGTACAGAGTCCAGAGTACCCTCGTCATCCGGGCAGTTGATTAGGGCGGTCGTCAACGGGCCGCAGCGCGTGCCAGGAACTATTTGCTTTTTCCAGGCTAATTTAGTCATTTTTTCCAACTTTTCACTGTTTGGCTGCTTTTTCCAAGATTAGCAGCTCCTTATCTTCACAAGGTGGAAAAAATGACTAAATTAGCCTGGAAAAAGCAAATAGTTCCTGGCACGCGCTGCGGCCCGTTGACGACCGCCCTAATCAACTGCCCGGATGACGAGGTACGTTTAGTTGAGCCCAAATGTACACATCAAAACCTGCCGATGTGAGCAGCATGCCGATGTGGCTCCTTTCATAAATGATACCTGTCTCCGCCTATTTTTCTGCTGCAGCCCTGGCTGCGGAAAGGGCTCACTTGCTTTGCTTGTTGCGGACTCAGGCTACCTAGGGTTACTCAGGGTGGACGCTACCCAGACTTCAGCGGCAGCCTACACCAGCGTTTCAAGGGTACGACAGCGTCGACTAAGACAGTATAGATGTCGATCTAGCGTCTGCAAGCATCTGCCAGCGTGTGCGTCCACAGGGACCAGCAGCAGACTTCTGGTATAGAGTATGGGGTGATAGGAGACACAGCTGTCTGCTGCTCTCCTACCGCCCCATTCTCTCCACCCTTGGACGCTGCTGGTCGTTCTAGATCGATATCTATACTTTCCTAGTCGCTAACTCTGCCGACGTCGGGCGCGCTACTGCTTATCTGGTTAGGCGCAGCGCAAAATATTGAACGCACCCTGTGGTAAGAAAGATTGGGATTGCTTCCACAGTCGCTAAATTTGTCTTGAAAGTATGAGACTTGGGAGAACGTAGAAGAGCAGAGACAAATATCGGGGTGGGACGCGAGAAAATATGGAGAATGCTGTATTACTAAGCGAAAAAACCTCTCAAATTCGAATCTTGAAGTTTCTGTTGAAATAAACTCACTATATGCTGTTCGAGTAAACTGCGTACGGCAAAGTGAAGAAAGTCTGGATCACTGGCACTTTTCAAAACACCTCTGCCAAGATTGGGAGTGACTTTTGACGTTAGACGAGTTATTCAGTTGTTGTTAGCGTAACTTTGAGGAATGAACAGGTTGAACTGGTTCAGTACAGCGCCAGCGTTCAGCTTAAAACCTTGCAATGCGTCATTGTAAAGTCATTAAGTGCTGTAGCACATCATCAGGGCTATACATAATGATCTGATTTATGGCGACAGCAATAACAGCATATAACTGTGGCACCCTTGCTGTTTTCACACTTCTGCTGGCAGTTTCAAAGATAAGCTTTCAAAACATCTGCGAGGTCCAAATCTGCCTTCTTTCGTAAGTAGGCAAATAAACGGTGGCCCCTTCTTGTTCGGACTTTCTCAAGTCATCTCGAACACTGTATTCACTGTCATAGCAATTTTGTGAACTTATTGTCTGAACTTCTTACGGCTCCTTGATAGATTACGGGCTGACATCCCCGTGAAATCGATTCCTTTGGAGATGACAGCATCGAGCTAGTGACTAAACAACCGCTCTACTCTACAGAAATTCCAGATCCAACAGATCAGCACGTAGTCGCGAGATGGGCCACTTACACTCCTTATCCCTGAGACGGGGTAGGCGTGGCATTTGAACATGTCAGAGGATAGATTATCGTGGATATTCCAAATTGAGACAACACCGATCATCGCTGGTGTGGGACGAAAGAATGCTGCAGTGTGTCCCGTAAATTCAAGACCTGGTCCGTCGCCGCCGTTAAACCACTACGCAGCCCGCTGGCCCATGCTGCAGGTATTTCGAGTGTACCGGGCACAGTGCCGTCCGTGACCTCCGGGAGATGAACTCCCAGTTCAACAATAATCGATGTCACAGTCAATTCACACGGCGGGTAGTATGGACACCATTAGTGTGACACAATTATTTAGGTTGCTCCGGAAAGGACATGCGCGTTTTGAATTTTTGACTTGCTTCCAGTTTTTTCTCCATTCTACCTATAGAAGATTTTTGGAGACAGTTTTGTCTATTAGAAAGAGATTTTTATTGTGCTTCTTTTGATATATTTTTGTCCATGTCTACTTTGCTTTTTTTGGGGAAAAAAGTTGGGAAGAGCGGGTGCCGCACCAGCTGAGCGACGCAAACAAGGCAACACGAGTGGCAATGGCCGGAATTCTTCTTCGTCGCTCCAAGAACAGCGGTTTTTTCGACTCTATTATTACATCAAATGAGAAAAGGGTCTGCTTCGATAACGCAACGAGAAAAGGACAGTGGTTAGACTCCAGTGACTCCAAAACGGACTCCGAACCTGATATACGCGGCCAAAAGATGATGGCCGTGTTTGGTGGGAATAGCAAAGGTTTGATGTACTTTGAAGTTCCGGAATCGGG